AAGTCACAACGAAGGTAGCCTCACCAACGGTGGTGGGCTTACCTTCGAACCCTGGAAGTGCTTCTGCGAGCAGCTCACAGGGAAACACCTCGGGCGAGTAGGAGTGTTAGCCGCTCTTACTCGCGCTGAAGTGGTAACGTTGCCTTCCCCACTTCAGGCGTTGGCCAAGGCTAGTGACCCACGTATCGCCCCGCAGACACATACAGACCCACCGACGCTCTGTTCGAAAGATGTGTCTGAGGCCCTAGAAGAGTTAGAGACTGAGTAGTCAGGGAAGGACCCCAGGGACTCTTGGGCGATGATGAGTGGAGGTCCAAAGGGTGAACATTTCGTGGTAGAAGTGGATGTAGGTGGCCACAAGATTGGCGCAGGCTCTACACGAAATTTCATCAGTCGTGCTTGTGTGGATTGACTGCGCTTAGGGGACCAAGTGCAGCGGCTTAGCAGAACTGTAGCTTCTACGCTAGCCAACAAGCACAAGATGGTAGTAAAAGACTATGTCAAGGACTTAGCCTGTTCCTTCTCCTATGGAGGAGGGGAAGTGATCCACAAGATCTCCTTCCTGGTTAGCGACGAACTTCCTTTTGATATGCTCCTAGGTATGTACTACCTCGAGGCCGCGAAACCACAGTTGGACTGGGATAGAAAGGTATTGATTCACAAGTTGCCCAGCGGTAGATCTGTTAGATTGCAGAAGTTCAAAGCTAGCAGTCTAGTAGAAAACTACGGGTGCATGTGTGCATCATCTTTCTATAACTATTATAAACAGAATCGCGAGGAAGGCATGTATCTGGTTTTTGTCTCTGAGAAAGGGGAGGCCGTAAAATCACCCCCAGAGATAGAAAAAGTCGTCGCTCAATATTAAGACCTTTTTGAGGAGCCCACAGGCGTGGTGGAAAGGGAGGTGGTCCATGCAATAGAGGTTGTCCCAGGTAGTAAGGTGCCTAGAGGACGAATCTATAGGATGTCTCCTGCGGAGTTAGATGAGCTTCGCCGCCAGCTTAAAGAGCTCACAGAGAAGGGATGGATACGGCCTAGTACCTCCCCTTACGGTGCGCCAGTCTTATTTGTTCCTAAGAAGGGAGGTCCATTAAGGATGTGCGTTGACTATAGGGGCCTCGATGCCATCACCGTAAAGAACGCGGAGCCCCTACCCCGCATTGACGACCTCTTGGATAGAGTGCAGGGATGTCGGTACTTCACAAAGATAGATTTGAAGTCCGGATACCATCAAATTGCCGTTAGGCCTGAGGACCAACACAAAACCGCATTTCAGACCAGATACGGTCTGTACGAGTTTGTGGTGACGCCTTTTGGCCTATGCAATGCGCCTGGTACGTTCCAGCACGCGATGAATAGGATCTTTCATGTCTACTTGGACAAGTTTATCGTCGTGTACCTCGACGATATTCTCATCTTCAGTAGGATTGTAGAGGAGCACGCTGAGCACTTGAAAATAGTGCTAGGTCTCCTAAGACAGCACCAGTACAAGGTAAACTTGGATAAATTCGAGTTTGGTCGCACCAAGATCTTGTACTTGGGTCATGAAATTTCAGCAGATGGATTGAGGCCGGAAGATGCGAAAGTGGCCAGCATACGTGACTGGCCCAGACATCAAACTGTTACTGAGGTCAGATCGTTTTTGGGGATGACGGGCTACTATCGTCCGTTTGTGAAAAACTATAGTACTAAAGCTTCCCCATTGACAGATCTTACTCGACTTGACACCCCTTGGGAGTGGACTGAAGAGTGTGAGGCAAGCTTCAAGCAATTGAAGTATGCTCTAACACACTACGAAGTTCTCAAACTTCCCGATCCTGACAAGCCGTTTGTCGTGACAGCAGACGCCAGCCAATATGGCATTGGCGCTGTCCTTGCACAACAGGAGGGGCCAAAGTTGAGACCGATCGAGTATATGAGTAAGAAGATGCCTTCCAAGAAGCTAGCTGCGTCCACTTATGAAAGAGAGCTCTACGCCCTATATAGAGCGCTAGTTCATTGGCGACATTACCTCCTAGGGAGATTTTTCTATGTGAGGTCTGACCATGAGACTCTGTGCTGGATTAAGATGCAGCCCGTGTTGTCTGACACACTCGAGAGATGGATTCAAGTGATAGATATGTATGACTATCAACTTGATCCTATCAAAGGTCCGTACAACAAAGTGGCAAATGCGCTGTCAAGAAGGGCAGACGATCTAGGCGCACTAGTAACTGAATTCGGCATATCTAACGATCTTACTCGATCGCTGGTGGAAGCCTATCAGGGAGATACAGTTATGTCAGAGATCATTCATAAATTCCTTCAAGCAAAGGACAAGAAGACTTTGGACGAATTTACCATGGTAGATGGCTTGCTGTTCCTTGAAAAGGCAGGGTTTAAAAGACTATGTGTCCCGGATAGTGAGTCTTTGCGTAGTTTATTTTTAGGAGAATGTCATGATGCTGTAGGTCATTTTGGTTATAAGAAGACATCAGCAAACTTAGTACAGAAGTTTTGGTGGCCTTCTATGATGAAGGATGCAAAACTGTATGTCGAGACTTG